AGGCTGCCGATGAGCAAACGCGAGGTGAAGACACGGGCATGGACGTCGACGAAGAGTAAGCGTAATAACTTCGATAGCATACATTATCGAAGTTATACGACAATCTGGGCAGCAGCAGCGGTGCACGCAGCGCCACGCGCGCAGATCCCCGCGGGCCTCCGCCCGAGCTGTTGGCCCTCTGTGAGCCGGCGCCCGCTCCCGCCCGCGTCGGCAGCAGGCCTGGCAAGGTTGCCCCGACCGTGCAGGTGGATGACGCCTTGGCCCTCCTTTTGCGCGAGGGTGAGCGGGTTCGGGTTGTTGCTCCGCTGCAGCGCTGCCGACCACCGGCCGCGGGAGGCGGCCGCCTTGGCCCCGCCTGCAGCCGCACCCAAGCCGAGCTCGGGAAAGTCGTCGTTGGCCGGCTTGCTCTGCGGCGCCTGATCCGGAGCCGCAGCACCGCCCTCGGCGGCGGACGGATCGACCTGGACCCCGGTGATGCCAACGGCGAGCGCGTTGAGCGCGTCGTAGTCGTGCAGGAAGTTGCACGGGTTGTGCGCGCACTGTCCCTTGAGCCAGTAGCGGCAGACGGCGCGACCGAGGTCGTGGGAGAACTTGCAGTCGCTACGGCGGCACTCGCCAGCGATAAAGTAGCGACAGACCTTGGCGCCGTGCAGAGCACCTGCGAGACCTGCGGGCGCCAGGCCAGGGCTCCTCGGTGACGATGCAGACGCCGCTGCGGGGCTCGCGCTGAGTCCTCGAGCAGCTGCGCCGAATCTCGCGGCACTAGCGCCAAAGCCGCTGCCATTCCGGTGCATCGACGAGAACGCCTCGCGGGTCAGGACGTTGACGCCGGCGCGAATGTTTGGCGTCACGGCGGCCGGCCCAGCAGCAGCAGCACCAGGGGCGCCGGTGGCATGCTCGACTCGGGGTGAGCCGGCGGCGGGGCCCACGGCTTGGCCTGCCCGCCGGGCCCGGAGTGGGCCCGACAGGATCGACTGCGAGCCGTCTCCGAGGGGCTTGCCGCCATTCTCGGAAATGGCGGCGAGCGTCCTCTCAAAGTCGTAGCCGTTGGCCATGAGCGCTTCGTCGACCTGCTCCGGACTCCACTCGGCCATGCCATGCTTGGTTCCGGTGACGAGGATCGAGTAGAGCAGGTCGAAGGGTGTCATGCCAGCGGCGCCAAAACCGGCCGCCTCGTCGTCACCTTCCGGGTGTCCAGGCACGCCAGAGCGGGCGAAACCGCCGCCGCCGCCGCTGCCGGTCGTTGACGCGGGCACAGTCCCGGGCCCGGGCTCCCAGCCGCCGTTGGACGACGTCGTGCTGGCGCCGCTGCTGTACCAGTTGCTATCACCGGTGTCCGCAACGCCGTATTGGGCCTGCGACGAGGACCACGGTACCGGCTTGGTGGAGCCGAATGGCGAAAACTCGTCGTCGTCGTCGTCACCGGCGCCGGCGTGGCTCTTGTTGGCCAGCGCGAGATTAGTGCTGCTGGCGTTGGAGCTGGGCCGCCGCGTCAGCCAGGGCGCTGGCCGCGTTGGCGTCAGAGCCGCGCCCGAGCCGAAGCTGGCGGTGGGCGTCCCCTTGGGCCGGAACTCGGTGGCGGCCACGTTTAGGCGCGGCGAGCCAAACGGCGACGGCGAGGCCGGGCGGCTGGTGCTAGCGGCGCTGAGGCCAGGCGGGACCGACGAGATGGGCGAGCCGACGCTGGTCTCGCCGCCGAGCGACGACGACACGCTCGTGGTCGACAGGTTGGAGAGGGTCCGATTCCAGGGCCGAGGAGAGGCGCGCGGCGAACCGGAGCCGATGACGCCAGGGTGCGGCTTGGGGCTGCCAGAAGCCGAAAGCGCGGTCGGTGGGGGGATGCCGACGCTCGTCATGAGGGGCGAGGTGGCCTGGTGCGGGAAGCCGGCGCCGCTGCTGCTGGTGCTGCTGCTCATGCCGCCCTCGAAGCCTGGTGGGCCGGGGTTAGAGTGGGTCGAGACGAACGATGGCTTCGAGGGCGTCCAGGGCCTCGAGGATGAAAACGAACGGATGCTGGCCGGCCTTCGGGCGGGCGATGCTGCCGACAGCGGCGGGGCAAACGAGGCGCCGGTCGGGTTGACATCCTCGCGGTGGCGGTGGAGGAGCTCGAGGACGAGGCTGTCGAGGCGGGAGGGGGTCGAGACGACGCCCTCCCTGCTAAAGAGGGACGTGGTGAGCGCGGAGCGGACGCGGTCGATGCGCTCCTCTTCGTCGAGGCGAGTGTCGTTGAGCAGCGCGAGGATCTCGGCGACCTGGGCCTGGGGCGTGGGTCCATGCGACATCGGGGCGGACGGTGCGATGGCGGCAGCGGCGGCGGCGGCGGCGGGGGGTGCTCGATGGTGATTGTGGAGCGCCTGCATCGATAGCTGCGCCGCCTTGAACGAGGCTGAAAAGGGGGGCGAGGTGGCCATCTCGCTGTCGTCGTCGCCTTCATCGTCGTCGTCGTCCTGGTCGTCGTCGCCGTCGACACCGTAAGCGGCGCCTGCGTTTCCATCGAGGGCACGGCGAGCGGCGCGGCCGCCGCTGTCCTCTTCCGAAGCCGACGCGGACGCCGAGGACGAGAGCGACGAGGGCTTATGCGGGCGAAAGGTGGGCGTGAGGTGCAGCTGACCGTTTACGCTAGCGCTCGTGTTGGACGACGATGCGGCCGACGACGAGAGGGGGTTAGGCAAGATCGAGACCGAGGACGATGAGGGTGCGGCGCTGCTGGTGGTGAGCGAGGTGGATCGGGCGCTACCGCCGCCACCGTTGTTGTTGCTGTTGTTGTTGTTGCTGGTGGTATGGCTGCTGCTGCTGGCGGTGCTGTGAGTGGCCGACGAAGGCGTGGTGCCGCTGACGAGGAGGGATTCGAGCAGCGCCTTTGCATGGCCAGAGTTGTACGAGGCAGCGGTTGTCATTGGGCCAGCCATGGTGGGTGCGGGGCGGGCACCGATTGATGACAGAGGAGGAGGGATGCCAAGGTCGGACTGGTGGCGGGTGGGCCGGCGGGCCAAGGGGCGGCGTAAGGTGGCGCAAAGACAGAGATCAAGAGGAAAGAGGACAGACTGCTCTGTGAGCTCTAGCGGATCCTGTGCGACGAGGGGGTAGTACGAGCGGCTTGTCTAGGTGAGGTGGGGTAGGGATAAAGCGAAAGGGCTTGGGTAAGGGCAAGGGGGAGGGGTGGACTTGCTCAGATCCGCCTCGAGGGGGGTCGCGTGTGTCGGAGTCGATCGCGACGTGCGACAGGCATCAGGCCGATGGGATGCTCTCCGAGGGATGGACGGAGGCAAGGAAGCAGGGGCAGTGTGGTGATGGGCGCGAGGAGGGGAGGGAGATGGTGGGCAGGTCCGCGGCGGGTGGCTGTGTGTCTGTGGCGGTAGTTTGGCGCGGGGAAGAGCGAGGAGGGCAGCAAGGGGTGCTTGCTCAGAGAGAGAGACGAAGTGCGGCGGCGGCTGCCGTATGGTCACTAGCTGCTTGTGGTTGGTGTGTGGGGTCGAGATGGTGGTGATGGTGGGTGGTGGCGGCTGCAACGGCGGCGGCGGCGGGTGGCCCCCACCCACTTTCAAAAAACGGCGGCCAGGCTGCACCTAGCTCTGCCCCGTCTGGCAGCCAACACACAGGCCATCCCTCGAGCCAAGGCCAAGGGGGCGGACGCGATCCGACTGACCGACGGCGGCCTCCCCTGCACCTTGAGGCCAATAATCCCCCCCCCCCCCTGCTCAGGCTGCCCTGAGCCGTCGACAGGTCCGTGGGCCTGCAGGCCACAGGCCTCCTTTTGACATCGCGTGTGGAGCAAAAAACCTCAGCGGGCTGCAAGCGAGCACCCCACCGCATCTTTGCAAGCTCGGATCCGAACCACGCAGCCCAGCCGTGCCTCGGACATCTTTCCACGCCGGCATCGGCCACCAGCCCAGCCCAGCCCAGCCCAGCCCAGCCCAACAAGACCAACCAACCAATCTTCGCAACGCGCCAACCCCGTCCGCCACCACCACCACCAGCTTCCACCTGGCACACCAACCAGCGTCACAGCCCTACGCCCGCACACTCTCCTACCCCTCCCTCGACCCCCCCGTCTCGACCGCGCGACCCCGCGGCTGCCACCACGCCATGTCGTCGTCGTCGGGCTCCAGAGGCATCGCCGCCTCGTCGACCTCGACCTCGTCGTCGTCGTCGTCGTCGCGCAAGCGCGAGCTCATCGACCGCGTACGCTACCCCAACCCCATCCCGCTCCCGCCCTACGCCCCCAAGCTCGTCAAGGTCGCAACTGACCCGGCGCGCTACGCCAACCCGCACTTTGCCGACCGCCTCGCCTCGGCCCACCCGCTCCCCGTCCTCGTCGACGCCCATGCCGGCATGCCCATCGACCTCGCGCGCTTCCAGGACCTCTGGGAGGGCGACCTCTCCGAAGTCTCGGTCGCACCCACAGACAGGCTCGACCAGGACTCGCTCGACGACGCAGACGCCTTCCTCCTCCAGGACTTTGCCTCGGCGCTCCCCGCCGCCGGCACCGCCGCCCCCAATGGCGCCATCGGCATCGTCACCTCGCTCCACGCATCCGACGACCCCGCCTCGGCAGCCACCCTCGCCGCCGCCCTCCAACAACGCCACGCCTCGGCCATCGGGCCCAACGCCAAGACGACGCTCGCCGCAGACGACGTCACCTGGCTAAGGCGCACAGAGTACCTCTCCGCCGAGCAGAAACGCGCCCAGCAGGCCGTCCAGAAGCCCCGCCACGTCGAGGCCGTCAACACCTCGCGCGAGGCACAGGTCAACAAGATCCAGCAGTCGTTCCGCGACGCCCAAAAGCCCCTCGACCGCCTCGTGCACCCGACCAAGCGCGGCGTCACGGCTGTCTCGTCGTTCGAGCTGCTGCCCGACCCCGACACCTGGGCCACCGACTACCACGTTGTCCGCTTCATCGACCCGCCCGGCCGCATCGTCAACGGCGTGCCCATCGTCGACCCGCGCCTCGACGTCGCACTCCTCCGACCCGTCACCGTCAACAACGAGCAGCGCGTCTCCTACTACCTCCCCACCGGCGAGGACCTGCCCGACGACCCAGACGCGCCCATGTCGCTGCTCGAGGACATTGCGCTCGAGGACGAAAAGTCGAGGCGGCTGCGCAAGCGCAGGCGGACGGGCAAGTTCCCAGCGGCCAAGATCAATGGCGCCGATGCCGATGCCGACGGCGATGGCGAGGGCGAGGGCGCCTCGCGCAACGAGGTGGGCACCGCCTACAAGTGGATCCGCGACTACGTGCCCAAGGACACGGCCGAGAGCTCGCACGACGTGCTGCTCCTCAGCCTCGACGACGGCGTGCCGGACGAGGATCCGGATGCCGACATCGATCCGATCAAAGGTGCCAAACGATCCCGCGGCGGTCCTGGTGGCGCTGGCGACGACGATGATGACGACGACCTCTTTGGCGGCGACGACGACGACGAGGACGGGGCGGATGGCGGCGTGCAGACGACAGCGGTGCCGCAGGCCGAGCACGAGAGGCGGAAGCGGAGCCGGAGGAGCGAGCTCACCAAGGGCAAGGAGCGCGACGCGGCGCCGGACGGCACGGGCGCCACGCTGGCGTTCAAGTCCAAGCCAAAGGCGTACTACCACAAGGTCGGGATGCGCTTCACGCTGCGCGTGTGGCGATCGAGGGTAAGTTGCAGTCAGCCGCGTGCGACGAGACGGCGGCAGCTCGTCACCGATGCTCGAGAAAGGGTCTGCCGATTAGGACGGCCTCGACTTACCTTGTCCACCTCCGACATCCTTTACCCGGTCGCGAATCACGTGCAGGTGGCCAAGAACGAAAAGCTGCGCAACAAGGACCGGCGCTACCCGGGCAAGTGGGATGTGATTACGCTCTCGAACCGCGACATGACGGAGCGCGAGAAGCTGCGTCGCTACCACCTGCGCAGCCAGGTCGACGACATGGGCGCGCTCGACCCGTACGAGAGCAGCGCAGACGAGGCCGAAGACGACGTCGACGGCGACGAGGAGCACGAGGCGGCGCCGGTTGAGGCGGCCGATGCGGCGGCCGAGGGCTCGCCCAACGGTGCGGACGACGCCGCCGACGAATCGCGTCGGATCTTTGGAGACGACGACGAGGACGACGACGAGGAGGCGGCCGTGGCGGCACAGCAGCAGCAAGCAGCGCGACGGGATGCGGATGCCGACGCAGATGCCAATGCGGATGCGGAAGCGGAAGCGGAAGCGGACGGCGAGAACGAGGACGAGGACGAGCAGACGCGAGGCGGTGCGCGAGACAACCATGACGACGACGACGACGAGGCGGGGAGCAAGAGCGGCAACGACGAGAGCGGCCGCGACGACGACGGGACCGACGACGAGGATGCCGGGTCCATCGACGGCGACGAGGAGCTCGCGGCGCTCCAGGCCGAGGCGGCCGGTGCGGGCGATTCGGGCGACGTGGCGGCCGACGAGGGCGAGGGGGGAGGACGCCGATCCAGACGTAGCAGGACGACGGCATCCGCTTCAGCGGCGGCTGGCGACGGTGATGGCGGTGCAGAGGAGGCTGGTGGTGAGGAGCAGGCTGCCGATGAGCAAACGCGAGGTGAAGACACGGGCATGGACGTCGACGAAGAGTAAGCGGGAGGTGGGACGAGAAGATGCCTTCGCAGCCCGTCGAGATTGCAGAGGGAGCACACACAGCGACACCTCGGCTCTGGCCGCTCCTGCGGGATGGCGACGTAGAAGTACGTACACTGGTCAAAAGAAAGCGCAACCCAAGACGCACCCCTTGTTCTCGCATTCACCACTCGTCGATCTGACCATGGCCGCGCCTCAAAAAGGGGAATTTAGCCGGGGGTCGGGTCAAAGCCAATCCATGGCGCTGGCAATGGCGTCTGAGCGCCAGATCTGACGGTCGTACTCGTCGACGTCTGCCCCTGCCCCTGTCTGTGCCGCCGTGACGAGGGGACGAGAGAGGCAGAGGGAGACAACGTCATCGTGCGGTTCCCTCTTGAAACCGACGCCGGGGTTGTCGACGACGGCCGTGCAGGTCGATGCGTCCACGACGGGCTGCGATCCTCGAAGTCGGTTTGGCCCGGCGAAGTCGACTTCGTCTTCCTCGAGAGTTGTCCGGAGTGCCATGCTACGCGGGTCGAAGCGAGGCAGACACGTCGCTGTCGCTGACGCCGTCGCCGTCGCTGTCTCAGTGACGCTTGAGGGACCTTCTGCGCTGCCGCTGGACGTGATGACGTTGCGCGACCAAGACGATGGTGCGGGGGCGAGAGCTTCGAGGAGGGCCGAGACGAGCGACTCTTCGTCGGCCCGTCGGCGTATAGGCGGCGGGACGAGGTGAGGTGGGTAGAAGAGCGTCGTTCCGTTGGCGCGCAGGTACCCCGCACCCGCGCCCGCAACGTCTCCATCCGGTGTCGATGGCGACGATGACGACGATGCGGTGGAAGATGTGGTGGAAGGAGGCGGTGTCATTGGATCGACGACGACGGTACTGCCTTCGCCGCTTGTGGGCCGCGATCGGTGCGAGGCAAGGGGCAGCGAGAGGAGTATCAAACCATGCTCGGCCGCCAGGCTCCTGCAGGCGTTGAAATACGTCGGAACCGCCTGGGACGACCGTGTCGGAGGAGCAGGTCCGCTCGGCGGCAGAGAGGACGACGGCGGCGGCGGCGGCGGTGGTGGCGGTGGTAGCAGCGTCGGTGGCCACGGCGCGCCGGCCTTACCTGGACCAACCGACGATGCGGACGGGGCGGGAGGATCGACCTGCGTCCCGTACAGATCTTGCCACGATGTCAGCGGGGGGAGCTGAGACGACGGCATAATGGCGGCGGCGCTGTAGTCGTACGGGGACGCCGTTGTCGATGCCGGTGGCGGTGGAAGCGGAGGTAGGCTCGAAAGGTCGAGACTCGTTGAGAGATGAGGGGGAGGACAGGGAGAGCGGTAGGTGCTCCATCCGCCCTCGCTCGTCCAGACGGTCTCGGCGAGACGCTGATTCAGCTCCTCGCTGGTCAGCGCTGCCGTCGCCATCGGCGCTTGGACGAACGCACCGCCCTCTGTCGCCTTGCTCGCGACGTCGCCCTTGGCCGCCCGGCTCGCCTTCTGATCGGCGCCGGCGAGAGATGTAGCTTGGATCTTGCGCTTCTTGGTCACCGTCGCCGCCTGCCGCTTCTGCTGCGCCTCGAGCGATGCCTGCAACCCTCTCTTGCGACGATTGGGCGGCACGTATCTCAGCGCGCCCGCTTCGCCGCCGCCTTGGGCAGATGTCGACTGCGGTGGCGCCCGCGCGTTGGGCCGCGCCACGCGCGACGGCACCTGGTCCCACGTGCACTTCTTCTTGAGGCGGAGGCAACGCGAGCACGAGGTGGCGTCGTCGCTCTCGGAAAAGCAGCGCCGCTTGAGCTTGTCTGTGCACCAGTACCAATGCGATGCGCCCAACGGGAACCAGAAGGGAGGTCGAAGATGATCAGCGTCGGCACCGTGCGCCGCAGGGGTGCGACATCGCGAAGGTAGAGAGGATACCCACAACACTGGTCGCATGCCTTGACGATGCGTCTCGGCACGTCCTTGCTGCCCTCTGGAGGCGGTGAGGCGGTCGAGGTGGACGAGTCGGTCGCGTCGCCGGCCGCAGTCGAGCCCCGAGAAAGATTGACAGAGCAGCCGAGCTCGGGATCGCTGCCACTGGTGGACGTCGCAGAGGATCCCCGTCCCCCCACGCCTGGAGCCATTCGAGAACCCAGAGCTGGCGGGTCGCGCTGCGTCGGTACAGAGTCGCTTGCTGTGGCCTCGGCGCACATGTCGGCAGCTTGAAGGGCGAGGGGCTTTTCGTGTGCCTGCTCGATGGCGACGAGCCCAGGATCGTCCTGTCTTCGCCTCGCAGCTTTATACCTATCCAATGCCGACTGTGCGGCGACGCTTCGGCGAAGAACCTGGCCCGGGGGAGTGTACACAGCAAGCATGCCTGGCTAGCCTCGTCGGCCGCATCGCCCGCACAGCAGCAGCGACCGAGCCGGACGGATCAGCCGGGGAACAGGCTCGGTGCCCTTCCGCGCCGCCTGGGGTCGCCGTGCGGGCAGGCGAAAGGGCATGTCGGGACCGGGCAGCGTGCGGAAGCGCTGCATCCGCTTGCACAAGAGGTTGGGACGGCGGCGGCGTCGTGGTTCTTGATCAGGTTCGTGACAGGTGGTGCGGACGGGGCAGATCAGGAAAGCAGAGCGTGGACGAGAAGAGTGGCGGGGGTCAGTGAAGGCCAGCAGCCGGCGATATCTTGAACATCTACCGAGGCCCTGCCGAATGGCCAGCCGCACCCGCACCCGCGCATGCGGACCGGACGCAGATTGGATCCGCTTGCCTGGCGCCCGACCCCAGGATCGGTACTGGAGGCCCGAACATGGGCGAAGGGAGCGAACATGGGCGGAGATCGGCGCGGGTCCTCCCGCCGCCTGGCCTGTGCTCGCACCTGTCGACTTCATTTCTGGAGCCCTCCTTGGGCACCAGGGCGGGGCGTCGGTCCAGAGCGAGTGCGCAGAGACACCGGAAGACCCTTCAGAAAGCTCGTCAAGGGTGGTCGACAGCAGGGCTGCGCCGCTGGTGAGGCCGCCGTCGGCCCACATCAGTGGGTGACCAGCCTGCCGCTGCGCAGGTATCGATCTGCGCAGGCTTGACAGCGGATCTTCCGGACTCCGTCCAGCTACATCGCCGCACGGCGACGACATTGCAGCTCGGGTTTGGCATCACCGAAACTGGCAAATCCAAGGCTGATGCGAAGAGCTCCTGCGGTGGCCCTGCCGGGTCCCGCTGGATCGGCAACGTCCGGGGACCCTGCCGTGGGCTGGGAGAGTTAGTGGGCAAGGGGAGAGGCAGCGATGATCATGAAGTCGGAATGGGATCGGCTGGTCGGCTCGCAACTGTTTGCGCGCAGGAGTGGGGAATAGAAGTACATGCCGGATGGAGACCCTTCAAGTCGCAGAAGACCTGGCTGGACCCATCGGTCGAGGCCTTTGAACGTGGAGCGAGAGCGATTCTGAGTGGCGGCCGGGCTAGTCACACCAGCGCGCAGCAGGCATGGTGCGATGCGGTGCAGCGCGGCGCGGCACTTCGGCCAGCGCCGGCACTTTTTCCGTCGGCATCGTTTAGCGGTCCTCGGCCCATTCCTGGAGAAAGACAGGGATGAAACAAGAGGTTTGGCACGGTTAGCAATCGCTCGACCTGCCTCGCTCGCGGTCCGTGCAGGAGTCCTGGCTGTGGCGAGGGGCCGGTGCACTGGCGGGCCGATTCGACCTGCGCTGCCACATGCGCCGGGAGCACTCACGTTCTCCTTCCTGATCTGCGCCTCCTCCTCGGGGCTGAAGTCGTTCTGGATGTTGAAGACTTTGCGGATCTCTTCGGGCGTCTTGCCCTTGATCATGTTGGCGCTGCGAGCGGAGACGGAGGCGGTGGGTGTCGAGGTGGGTCAGTCGGCGTGCCGCATGGAGGAGCGATGCCCCGCTTGCTGCGCCCGCTGTCCGCTTGACGTCGGCACAGATACTTACACAGTCTTGCAGCCGACGTCGAGGAGGGGCTTGATGTCGAGGTAGTTTGCGGCGAGGATGATTTCAAAGAGCATCTCCTGGTCGACCTGGATAAACTTGGAGTCCCATTCCGAGATGTCGGTGGTCCTCCTTCGCGACTCTTCGGCGTCGTCGGCGGGCGGAGGGGGGTCGTTGCGGTGGTGGGCGCAGTACTCGAGCACCTGGGTCGGATGAGAGGAGAGGGGTTGTTGGGTGAAGTGGGCTCGTCAGTGGTTGTGGGGGCGGTGTCGCAAGGGAGGAGGCCGCTGGGCTCACCTTTTTGAGAACGTTAGACGAGACATTGGGCAGAGGGATGGGTTGGTCGGTATCGCCAATGTCTGGTGGCGGGTTGAGTTGGGGGGCAGGTGAGGGCGGGAGGATGTGCAAGGCGGAGCAAGTCAGCAAGAGGCAGCAGAGTGAGCGTGTGGCTGCTGCGAGCGTGTCTCGAGCTCACCCTCGAGCATCTGCTTGATGAGAACGGAGCGCTCTGCGACGTCCTTGTCGACGGTGAACTGCTCGTTGTCCGAGGTGGTGAGGCTGACCATGGTGGGCGGCGTCGGTGGAGGGGGCTGTGCCGGGAAGGGTTTGGGTGATGGAGTGCAGGAAAGTGGGTGGCGGGTGGAAAAGGCAGCGCAGAGGCGAGGTGGTCGCAGTGGTGGTGGTGGTGGTGGTGGTGGTGGTGGTGGTGGTGGTGGTGGTGGTGGTGGTGGTGGTGGTGGTGGTGGTGGTGGTGGTGGTGGTGGTGGTGATGTTGGTGACGAGTGGAGCTCAACAGGCCAAGCGACAAGGGCTGAGCAGCTGGCGTCAAGCAAGCGTGGCATAGGCCCCTTTGACCCGGCCCTCTGGCCTGCTTGTGACCGTGACCGGCTGGCGGGCGTGCGAGCGTGCGTGTGTGTGTGTGGGCGCATGGGGCGGGTGATTGAGCCTGGCCTGGCCTTGCCTGCCTAGCCTCGGCTTGGCTGGGGGGCAGGCCAGCCTCTCTCTTGGCCTTGGCTGCCTGCGCCTTTCCAGCCTGGCCTGGTCTGGCCTGACCTGGTCTGGGGGGCAGGGCAGCGGCTGAGCGGCGTGTGGAGGGAGGCCCGACATCTTCGCAAAGCTTCAATTCGTGATCGACCCTGCAACCCGATTCCAAGCCTCGACCCCGATTCCAACCTCGACCCCGATTCCGGCCCCATAGCCACGAGAAGGAAGAAGCCCTCGCACGGTGCAGCGACCCTGCATATGCAGGCCAGAGTTGTGCTTTGCTGGCAAACGCCTTTCCCTCGAGTCGCAGCGCAGCTCTAATAGCCCACCACCACCACCACCACCGAGACCACCACCACCACCTCCGTCTTTCTCAAAAGGAGAGCTGTATTCGACTCACCGGCGTCGTCTTTCGTGCCCTCTGGCTCCCCCAACATCAGCATCGCCCGACCGGCTCGCCGCGCACCCCCCACCTGCTCGGCAGCATGCGTCCCGCACCGCAAGCCGAGACCGACGATGCGCCGGCCAGTCCCAGCCTTTCATACATTGCACGAAGGCCCAATCGTCACACGAAGGCGACAGTGGCCTCGGAAGGATCGACTCATGCTGTCTTTGACATCGGCAGAGATTCGCAGGATGCGCCCGCATCGCCACCCTCGCTTGGCTTGGCCCCCGGGAGCGCACAATCGAGCAACATCGACAATACCCGGCGCTCCGACGGCCGCCGCCCTCACAGCATCGACAGTCAAGATGATTACGACGAGGATGACATCGACGATGAGGCCGCATTGATGCTGGACCCCGCTTCGGCCTCGACATCCGACCTGCGCGAGGACGACGACGGTGCCATCGAGCTCGGTCCGACAGCGGCCAAACGCGTTAAGAGGCGCATCGCCAGGGCAAGAGGCCACCGGCCAACCGGCAGCCTGTCTGCGAAGTACGACAAGGACGACCCCCTCTTCCTCGTCAGCAAGGCTGTCCCAGAGGATGACGATCCCAGCTTGCCCGCCCTCACCTGGAGGGCGCTCGTAATCGGCAGCTTCTTCTGTGTCATCGGCGCGGCCGTTAGCCAGGTGAGTAAACAGCCTCTCCCTCTCGCGGATGCCTGACGAGGAGAGACCCCGGACGTGTGCGTCTGCGGATGGAGGTCTTGCGGCAACGAGGCCTTCTGATCCGCTGATGCCTTGTGCCCGGCTGCGTTTGTTTGCGCTTCCCTCTGCAATGCAAATCCGTCGGCATGCATCCCTCTGGTCCGCCGCTTGCTGCTTTGCTCTGAAAGCTCTTCTTCTACAAGTCCAACTCGTGCGTGGAAATGTTCTGTGTCCCGCGCTGATCCAGATAAGTGATCCAGTGGCTGGACTGACGGGTACGCCTACGGCTTCGTGCATCGTTGTCCGCGCCGCTGATCTGTGAACCCACAGGCCTTCTTTCAGCACCTACTTTGTCATCCTGATCTCGCTGCCGGTGGGCAAATGGCTTGCCCGGAAGCTACCGGACAAGACAATCTGGATCGGGCCTTGGTCGTTCGAGCTGAACCCCGGGCCCTTTAGCATCAAGTGAGTGGTCGACGCCGTCGGGTTCCTACATGCGTGACAGATTAGCAAGGGCGGAGGCGACTGAGGCAGGAGATCGTGTCCTTTCATTTGTGCAGGGAGCACATGCTCGTGGCCATCATATCGTCTTCTGGCGCTTCTTCGGCCGGTGCGACGGACATCATCAACATTCAAGGTGAGTGCCGATGATGCTGCGCGAGGCTGCAAGTGCTGCGACAGCTTTGCGGCGCTTGCTCAGTGTCACAACCTCACAACCTCACCACCTGGCCTCACCCTCTCCCCCTCTACCGGCACGCAGAACTCTTCTAGTGAGCTCGAGCGCAGAAGCATAGGGGTCATTAGCGAGGTTGCTCATCGCCGCGCGCTGCGATGTTCGTTCTTGACAGCCACCAACGAATGCCGTGGCTGGCGTCCCTGACGCTCCTTATCTCGTCGCAGGTTCTCGGCTTTGGCTGGGCGGGCCTGGTGACGGATCTGCTTGTCAGTGAGTGGCATGGCAACGACTGACGGGTTTGGCAATCGAGCGCAACTGAGATTTCCTGACTGCCAACGGCGCAAGCCACGGCGACGCGTTCGCAGAGCCGCCGTCGATGCTGTGGCCTAGCACGTTGGTCACGACTAGCCTCTTTCACACGCTGCATGACGGCAAATCTCCCTACAACAAAGCGAGGCTGCGCATGTTCTTCCTCGTCTTCATTGCCATCTTCGTAAGTCGATGCCCACGACGGTGCAGTTGCTGAGCGGTGGGCTGACGTGTAACCGATCGGACCTTGTTCCTCACGGTGGCTCTGCCCGCTGCAGGTGTACCAGTTCCTACCGGCGATGATCGCGCCGACGTTGAGCAGCATTGCCGTCCTCTGCCTCGTCAACAACCAGAACCAGACGTTCCGCATCCTCAGCAGCGGGTATCATGGCCTCGGGCTTCTCAACTTCACCCTCGACTGGAACGCCGCTGGCATGACGGGACCCTTCTACCAGCCCTGGGTGAGCCAGGCGGTGCCAGCGTTGCGACGCGGTGCAGCACAGCCTTCGCTGAGCCTTTGCACCTGAGGCGTTCCTTTGACTCCCGGAAATCGATATCCTCTGGCAGTGGGCAGCGCTCAACTTCTACGGCGGCATTGCGGGGATGTGCTGGATCATCGCACCGCTCTACTACTTCGGCTTCAACATGTGGCAGGCGCGGTCCTTTCCTGATGTCCTGGGCTCGGGACTCTACCACCAAAACTTTACCAAGTTCGACGTTACCGGCCTGCTGAACCCGGACAGCACGTTGGATCGCGACAAATGGGAGGAGTCGAAGCCGATGCTCCTGACGCCCTTCTTTGCCCTCACCTATGGCCTGAGCTTCGCCACCCTCACCAGCGTGCTCACGCACACGTTGCTTTGGCACTGGAATGACATCAAGCGGGCTGTCAATCGCCATGAACACGACGTGAGTCTGGGAGCCGCTGCTGCGCCAAGCAAAACCGCCTGGACGCGGACTGACGCTACGATCGCCTCCGACACCCGATGCTTTCGCGTCCGCCATCGCGCGCCTCCTCCCAAACATGCAGGACATCCACAACCGCCTGATGAGGGCCTACGCGCCCGTGCCGCGCTCGTGGTACTGGACGACGTTCGGTCTGACGACGATGGCAGCTTGCATCCTAGTCGTCACCACGCCGTCGCTCCAGCTCCCGGTTTGGGCGCTGCTGATGGCGATCTTCATGGGCCCGATCTTCCTTGTGCCCGTCGGCATCCTCCGCGCCGTATCCGACACCGGTGTCGGGCTCAACGTCATCTCCGAATTCGTCATCGGCTACATCATGCCGGGCAACCCGATCGGCAATGTCCTCTTCAAAATCATGGCCTACATGTCGCTCGCCCAGGCGCTGGATCTACTGACCGACCTGAAGTGCGGTCACTACCTCAAGGTGCCGCCCAAGCACATGTTCGTGTCGCAGCTCGTGGGCACCGCCATCGGCTGCGTCGTCAACCTCGTCGTGGTCAACATCATCCTCGACCCTGCTTCGGGCTACCGCGGCTTCCTCGACGGCACTGTCGAGGATCCGAGCGGCCAGTGGGACGGCAGGAAGGTGCACATCTTCTTCTCGGCCTCGGTTATCTGGGGCCTCATTGGACCGGCCGAATTCTTTGCGGGCGAGTACCGCATCCTCTACGCCGGCTTCCTCATCGGCGCGCTGCTACCCCTGATCCCCTACCTTCTCCATAAGCGCTACGGCGGCAAGATGTGGAACAAGGTGGCCTGGCCCATCATCCTTCACGGCGCCTGCGCACCGCCGACGATCCCGACCAACGTCATCATGACTGGCTTCGCTCTCAGCTGGCTGTCGCAGAAGCACCTCCGTACGAGGCACCCGAAATGGTTCGAGCGCTTCAACTACGTCGTCTCGGCCGCCCTGGACGCCGGCGCGTCGGTCAACGCGCTGGCCATCTTCTTGCTCAGCGTCACCATCATGAGGTGGTCCGGGCCCATCCCGAACTGGGCGGGGAACCCAAGCAGCGACAGCGAGTACTGCAAGCCTGCGGTGGGGCCTGGGGCCCCTGCTTCGGCCACGTAGCATAGCCGTATCGAGATGCGCAATGGCAGACGAGGCGAGAGCCGAACAGAGGCGCTTGACGTTGGCGCGAGGGAGAGTGGAGCGAGACCGGAACCTTTGGGCTGAGTATTGACACATGGTACAGGAGACGACGGAAGGCGGAACGAGCGGGGCAGGGGATGGAGAGGTGCAGCGGAACAAGCGAAGCGCGGACGGACGAGGAAGCTGGTGCTGCCTGGATGAGGAGCGCTCAGTAACCGCCTCTG